AGCTACGACGGCAAATAGCACACGGTAACCAAGGGAACATAATGCGTGAAACCTGCGGCTTTTGACTTAGCAGAGTTGTTGCAATTGCTCTTCGGCGGTCCTGCATCCACCATGTCTGCAGCGGTCAAGACTACACGATCTACATGCATGGATTGTTGTGCATTCACTGCATTGGCCACGGTGCGCCCATGTTTGAAGAGTTTTCACTCTTTTAGCTTCGTCTGCATATCATTGCCGATGACGTACTGACTGGGCTGTTTGATATATCGACGTCAAACAAACGGGCGTACTTGAATTCACACCCTCAACCACAACCACAGTCGCAAACACAAATGAGTCTCACAGTGACACGACCGTAGCAATCACGGCAGACACGAGCTTTCGACCGTCATGGAGTGTCTTATCAGGCATTGGACATACGGCGCTTCTATCTGTCCAGCGATTATGTGCGAAGGCCTTTCCAGACCCAAAGATACAGGGTCATACTTGCCATGGGAATCGCACAAGTCGACCTAATGTGTGTGAAGGACGCATCCAGGACACCACCGACGCATCAGAGCACAGCAGTATTTAGGCTAGCACGCGTCGCCTTGTCCTGAATCGCCGCCACGTACTCAGTAAGGCGCCACTCGACTACCACCCCTTCCGCACACAAGGGTGTATCAATGTGTCGGCTGACAGAGGTGGTGAGAGCATAATACCTCTGTCCACTTGGCGCTATCCTATCACGGGCCTTAGAAAAGAGGCCCCCAAGTGTGCCGCTTCAAGGTATCCGAAGCGGAATCGAAACGGCGCGGTGAAGTCTGGTGCACTTCGCACAATTAGACGAAGCTCGCGTCTGGCGGTGACCGAGCGACGACCAGGCGGTCTATTAACAGAAGCTAGTGAGGCCCCCTTCCCCCCCAGCTTCAAGGGACCAGAGGGTTCTTGGGCCAATACCGTGTTTATTAGGGAGCATATTTCCCCACGCTTGGTAATCATTGATACCTCCTCGGCCCTGCGGCCAATTCTAGCCACCTTGACGTGCCGTCCACATGCACCTCACCGCTCCAATGGTGCCGGTTTGCAGCGGAGAGGCATGGAGTCATTACTCGTTACGCGTCCTTTTTGTCATAATTTGATAACGAGCATGTATGTTGAAGCGGCGCTTGTCAGCTTGGCAGGGACATTGATGTCGTCGTACGTAGCCTATCATGACGGCGGCTGTAGTCACCGCTGCTTGATTCCATCTGGGACCCGTGCCGAGATGATTGGAGTCTCGGAGACACCGCCAGTGGCAGATAGGCACCCAAGAATGGCAAGGTATCACGGACAAAGCATTGGCGAGTTTGGAAGACGTATTTTCTTCGAGCATGGTCGTTTGGGCCGTCATCCGAGTGTCTGGTTGACGAGCATGGCAGGCAACGGACAGGAACGAACCTCCTGGTGGTCGCGCGCCCGGGCTTCTGGCTGGCATCAGACGCAAGGGTCAAGTCGAAGATGACGATGCTTTGGCGATCAATTCGGATTTCTTAGCGAGGGCAACTGCCTTCAATGCTACTCTGGCGCCCATCATTACTTGTTCCATGCAGGCACTGGGTGGCCATGAAATTGGTTTGCGCTGCTGCAAGCGCAGTGATTTGTACAACGGCGCCAGGCACTGCGAGTGGCTGAACAGGGGCTGACTTTGATCTCCCTTTGTTGCTTTGAACGGATTTCCAGCTAGCTGCCCGTGCCGGCGTAGGGCCAACCAGCAACATTTTGAGGGCTCCCGAGGTGGGGGGGGTTTTAAGAGCTGGCAGATGAGGCCCAACTTCAGGCGGCTGCAGCTGCGGGTTAATAGTGAAAACGCTTGAGCAGATGGCGCATCGACGGGCCCGTAGGCCCTACGGACAATTCCGTATCGTCGCATTCCAGCTTTGGCTAAAACGCCAAGGCGGCCGCGACTTGGGCATCCAGAGAGCGCATTTGTATCGTCCACGCATCTAACCGGGTCTGCCATCACATCACATCCATTTTACCTCCGTACTGGCCCGCTGACTACTTAGCTGCCTACTCCGTATAGCTGCTCCGGACTGTATTAAGGCTCTTTTCTGACGCACGAACCTCCAGCCGTCGTGGGCATCACCGAATTGTGGACTCGTGTGGGTAGGGCATGGGGGATTATGCTTCAGTGTTTGGTAGTTTGGTACCCCGTGTGCTTGCTACGGACCTCGAGGCAGCCATGTGCGATTTCTCCGTAACTACATGTACGTACGCAGGTGTTCTGGACGCATGTCAGTCATTGCCTGCTTCTTGCTTCTACCCGTCTGTTTGGTCCATGATGACTACTAGTGTTGAGCTCCAGGGCTACAGAGGAGGGGCCTCCTCTCAACCTCTCTGCTCGGCCGCCGGATCTCTCGGCCGCCACACCATGCCAGGTTCCATGCTCTCGTTTTATTTTTCTCGTCGCTGGTTTTTCATCTGGTCTCGGTGGAGCGTGGAGCAGCGAGTCCCTGGTGCTATTGTACATGTAGTACCTGGATGGAGTTGGAGCATGGGGGAATGGAACATCCCTATGGAGCAGTATATGTACATACATTGAACTCGCCTGGAGAGCCACGAGGTACCAGCGAACCTCATCAATGTTGCAAAACACTGGCTACAAGCACTTTGGCCCTTCGGCCCCTGACCACGCAAGCGCCATATCCGAATTCCAGGCACGGGCTGTCGAGGAGAGGATGCGACGAATGAAAAACTAGGCCGAAGATGGTTGCAGAGGCCATGGCCGGGCCCAGCAGGGTTGAAAGCTGAAAATTTGCCAAGGTCACGACATACAATACATACTGCTCGTTGCTGGTCGTAGTCTGTATTTATTACAGTGCACATCGTATTCCTCCGTACACTTTGTTACTAACAGTTCAGTCTTTTCTGATTCGGCCAAGGGGATAATTGCTGGACCAGTTGCCAAAACAAGTGTCCGGCAAAGCGACCATGACCATCAACCGGGAGGGGCGTGTCGCGTGGACATTTCATCGTCATCTCGTGAGCGCTTCTCACGGGAAAGCCCACGCCCCCAGCCCACGCCCCAGTCTTGTCTGTACGGAGTACGTACATATGCATGTATTAACGCCGCTCCAGCCACGCCCGCCCCGGGGGGCCTTGATTGAGGCACTTCAAGCCTTTGCGATACCCCTGTCGGAGCTAGCTTGATGATGATGATGAGAGCAATAGAGAGGCCAAGCTGGGGACGAGGACCAGGGGACTTGCGAGTGGCTCTCTATTCTGCTCGGGATCGAGAGGCAAGGGAAAGGAAGAGAAAACATAGGCGAGCGAGATATGAGGAGTTGGTGCTTGGTGCTCCGTAACAGAGCAGTGCCAACACCACCATCTTTCAGGCTGGCAGGTTTTACCTGACCGTCTTTTCTGTCTTTTTCTCTTTTATACTCCGTGTTTCTTTCTTCTGGAGCAAGAATCACCACGTTCCTGGCTGGCCAACACCTTTCCCGGCTTGATTGCTGGACCAGGACAGCCCTTGCAAAACCTTGGTTTGCGATCCCTTGCTCGACCTTCGGACTTTTGCCGGCCAGTCGCCTGTCTGGGTGACACAGTACGCCTGGGCTCTAGCCTCGCCACCACACCTTACAAGCACCCGCCTGACGGAAGCGCATCTTGGTCGCGCCGCACACCGTTGTCTGGTTGTGCAACAGATCCCCTGTACGTCAACGTGGGTAGTACGGGCCACGGAGTCTTGTCGCTTGGTGCCTGTTGTTGCTTGTTCTGGCGTCTGGAAGTCTTAGACGCTAGTTTGTGGTAAAGCAGCCAATCCCAGGTTTGATCGATCCTACCAGACGGCGCACAGCGTCATCCAGTGTCTGGCGTCCAGCGCCCATTGCGCTGTGTGCTGTGTGCTGGGTGCTGGGTCCTGCGCGTCGAGTACCAAAGCATCGAGCCAGCAGCGCCAGCGCAAAAGCAACGTCGAGTCGCACGCTGGTTTGCGCATCTGGTGGCCTGTGTCTCCTGCCGGTGTTGGTGATAGTGTTGGTGGTGGTGGTGGTGGTGGTGGTGCTCCCCTTGGACTTGGGACGGGTGCTACGACGTACAATACTCAATGTGCACGCAATAAATCCATGATTGTATTGTACATACACCAGCTACAGAGAGAGACCAAGCCAGACAGACCAGACTGCAGACCGCAGACCACAGACCGCAGACCGCAGGACGCAACCCGCACACATCTCCGCGCCCCACTTCCGTCTAACTCGAACCTCGACTCGAGCTGCGCGCTTCCTTTTCTTGGATAGCTCCAACTTGTGTCTTCGGCATCCAACCGTCCCTGCCCAACTGCTGGTCCAAGTTGCCAAGTTGCCTTGCCTTGCCTTGCCTTGCCGCGTCTCGGCCTCAGCCCAGGGTCGGTGGTATCTGGTATCTCGCCTCCGTCAACGAGCCCTTTGCTTGTTGCTTCTGTCTCGCCATCGCCGTTGGTCGCCATCCAGAAAGCGGCTTACTCGTCCGGACCGGGAGCGACTCATCCACCCATCTATGTCATCATACCTGTGAATCTCACACCTCGCCAGACCAGAAACGTAGTGAGGCAGGAGGCCAGCCGGCACATACACACGCTGAGGCACACACATCAGACACATCAGACACTTCAGACACTTCATACTACGCTCACACGCTCGCACACACCACACGTATACACTGGTCCAACGCGCACTCTTCGTACACACACCCCATGTCGACCATTGCTCCTTGGCTTCCGATGTCGAAGACCCATTTGTAACCGATAGCCTACACATCAGCTTTGGGAGCCTCATCGGTTTCTCAAGTCCCTCGGTGCGCCTTGGGTTGCGTCTTGGTGCTTCTTGGTGCCTCTTGGAGCTTCTCAGCTTCTCCCCGGGGCTGGTGCCGGAGCTGGGTGCCCATTCTGTTATTTCGCCCTCAGCCCATGGAAGCTGGGCCTCTCCGGCCCCTTGCCTCACCATCTGCTTCGTTCCTGACATGTCTTTGTCCCGTGGCTGGACCTAGAACGCACAAGCATGGATCCGGGACCAGACGGCAAACGTCCTCGCTTTGGGTCGTGGTCTGCTTCTCCAACTGGAACCCCCCTTCCTCAACCTCACATCTCAACAACACCACGGTCTCATCATACTCAAGCTCCCCACCCGCCGCCGCCTCCCCCTCCCCCTCCAGTCTCTCACTCGCATCATCATCCTGGACCAGGCACATATCAACAACAATATCCGCCCCGAGCAGCCGAACTTGGATCCGGCCCTCCAGCTCCAGTGCCTATACATGGTCATGCGCAGTCTCCTCTTCCTGATCACGACCGGCGACAACACGATCAGGAAACCCTTGCCCCCATGCAAGACCACTTTCGCCAGCCGGGTCATCCTCCCCAACAACAGCCTCATCACCCAAGCCAACCGCCGTCACCCGCTCATCCTGCATATCGTCAATATCCTCCCAGAGACTCGGCCATAAAACGAGAGTCCGGCGAAGATCCGAGGCGCTCAAACTCCGCTGGAGGACATGCGCCAGACTCTATACCCCATACGCCACATCCCAGCTCAGTCTCGCATCCTCCTCCGCCGCACCAAACCGCATCAGCATATCCACCAGAGGGCCAACAGCGTCATATGGGCTATGAAAATGGACCTTCGGTGCCTCCCACCCCAGGAGTGTATCGCCCTGCCAGCTACCCGCCGCCAACGCCGGCTCACCAGCCTTCTTACGAGTCCCATGCAAGCTATCCTCCAGCAACAGAGCCGTTCTATGGCGTATACACATCCTCTGCCGCTTCAAAGAAGAAGAACACGAGAGCATCGCAGGTAATGTGATCCCTGCTACGCTTTCGTTAGACGTGAGATTGTGAATGTACATGCTAACCTTGGGCAACGAGGTAGGCTTGTGATCAGTGCCGACAGCTCAAGGCTAAATGCGACGAGACAAAGCCCTGCAAAACATGCCGCGATAAAGGAACAGAGTGCCGGTACCGCGACCCGGTACCTAAAGCGTATGTGTTGCACGTGTCGATGTGTCCAATGGACAATCATGGCACTAACCCGGAAATCACAGGACTGATAAAGCTCAAGCTGATATTCTCGAGGGCATTACCATGGTCCAGCACAGCATTGCCAGTTTGATGGAGCAAGTTGGACGTATGGACAGCCGGATGACCAAGCTGGAAGCTTCTGTCGGCGGCCATCCAAATGGTAGTTTGGTGAAGATGGACCCAGTTGCGGAAGAAGAGCAGCTCAAAGCGCTGCGAAGAAGCCCTTTTGGCGACGAATCTGAGACGGCGCATCAGTTCTACAATAGCGGCGGCACTCGTGATTTCTTGGATGCTGGTGTCGAGCGTGCGCCCCTGGAAATGATGGCCGAAGATGAATTGGAGGCAGAGCCAGGACCGCCAGTGCCTCCCGGAGAGCCTGCGATCCCCATCAACCATACTACGCCTGCTGGGTTGCTTCTGGACTGGCCGTGTATCAGTGACATTGTCAGGCCACACTTGGAAGCCGAGGGTATTCGACACATCACGGAATATCCTATCAGCCAAGAGCAAAATCGCGGTGTGCTCATTGTATACGGTCGTGGCGAAGACGCGCATCCTTCGCGGCATTTGAGGGAAATCACAGACCACGGCCAACTTGACATGGGAGACGAGTCCTCTGACACAGCATCTCCGTCCCCTGCTGCTGATTGGGGACACCTCGGTGGACTGAGCCCTGCTGACCAAGTGGTAGAGTATAAGGGGGGTGTATTGGCGAGTGACGGGAACCCCGACTTCTCCGAAGATAAAGTTTGGGCCTATGTGAAGAGCTTCAAAGATCATATTTTAAACATGCATCCAATCATTCAACCCAAAGTACTCCGCGAATGGGTGCACCATTTTTTGGATACCTTGCCACCAAGATCAACATATTCAAAATTTCACAAGCCTTCCAAAGGCGCCTCCTTCGCGGTAGGTAGCATAACCCCAAATATGGTGACGGAGATTGCAGGATCGAAACGCAAAAGGTCACCCGCACCCGACGGACCCGAAGTTCCTTCAACGCCGACCACGGGGAAAGCTGGCAGACCCGAGAGATCAATACATAATGCGCTTGTCCTCACCATCCTCGCCTTGGGCAAAATTTGTATGCACAGAGACCGAGTTTACGACGCCGTCCATCAGGTTGATCCTTTGCCTCATGGGAGTCCGTCCGCTAGGAATGGAATTCCACCGTCTCCTAGCCAGTGCTCACCCCCGAGCATCTCATCCCACTCCCTCTCATCGGGAGGTCTGGCGGTGTCCCCGAAGGAGGCAGAGCGAGGATTACAGAGCAGGCGGTCATCGATTCATGGTGGGAGTACAGGAACCTCAAGAGGCGGCCTTGGATTGAAGAAGAACTACGAGGCTATTCCGGGCTTGGAGTACTTTGCGTTTGCCACCGACATACTTGGGAATCATACAGGCGCCTATAAAAACATGAAGAACGTCTACGCCTTGATTTTTGCTGGAATATATCACGGGCAACTTGCCCGTCCTTTGGAAAGCTTTGCGTTTATTCATCAAGCTAGCCATAAGTTGCAGGTCATCATGAGACCGTAAGTTCTGTTGCAGGAACCAATGTAGGGAAAAAATTTGGCAGTATTGAGCTAATTATGGTTTGCAGGAGCCTGGATAAGCTGCGTCGAATCAAGAACACAGATTTGTCAATGATACAAGAGCCGAGGTATAACCAACTGGCTTTGACCTTTTGGACTTGCTTGCAACTGGAAAGCGATCTCATCGCAGAGCTGCAACTTCCTCCTTCAGGATTGCTCTCCTATGAAGAAAATATGCCGCATCCAAATATGAGCCTGTTGAGTGGATTTGATCAGAGGGTTCTCGACAGTTACTTGGCGCAGTTGTATCTTCGAACGCACCTGAACAGCATTCACCGCATGTTTTACGCCCCAGACAACAAGAATGTCAAGGAAGCAGAATCAAAGGAGCTAGACCCCAAGTTCAACAATGTTGGGCTAGTCGCCGATGCTGTGTCAAACATGCAGTGGGTTGCACGGAGTTTTGCCTTCAAGGAAGATGATCCCCCGGCAGACGACCTTCTCGCAGCCCGACTGCGGGCCAAATATTGGGGCGCTCAAGTCATCACATACCGGCCCTTTATTCGACAAATCCTGCAGTGGTCAGAGAAGATGCAAAAGCATCCATCAAGTCCGAACCCGCAGGCCGTATCCGAATTCCGACAAGGCGTCGCGGCGCCGGTTATCGACCCATCAGCCAAGTCTCGGAACGATATTCAACCAATGGTGATCGAATATGCGAAGAGAGGCATCAAAGCGTTGATTGAGAGCACGCGGGCATTCCACGGTTTAGGATCGGAGCGACCAATCATTACCAATGTCTTTGGAACCGCGCATGCGTAAGTTAATATTGTCCCGGAAGCAGAGACGGCTGCTAACAAGTTGTCTTTTAGCCAATGGGGAAATCTCTTGGTTTTGTCGGCATGTTTTAGAGACGAGGTGCTCTCCTCAGAGATTGATGCAAGTCTTCTCATGACGCTTTTTTCCAAAACCATATTATTCTTAAAACAGTCAAGCACGGCGACGAGCTCCCTAAAAACAGACATGCATATACTGGAAGGCATTCAGCGAGATTTGTTTCCCCAGGGCGTCGATGCGAAGATGACGAGAAGCTTCTCAAGCAGTACCAATTTACAGACACCAAAACTTCCCATGGCAGCCCCACCGCCCATGTCGAACCCCAATTAACATGTCGAGACATGTTGTTCTCGGTGTTGGTGCAAAAGCGAATTGACTTGCAAGTCTTTGACTCTGTTGGTTATAATTGATTCGGCAAGACGACCCAACCGGCCAGTTCTGTTGATTCGACCCTTGTCCTTCCATGATTGGTGAGACATGGGACGGTATAGGATGTTTTCCCCTAAATCTGGCGTGCTACTCGGCAAGGATACCTGGCTCAAAAGGTTATAATCTGGCGGCGTACTACAGAATGGATGGGTTCTACAAAAGTCGAAGTGCAAACTCAACGATTCAGAACACGACATATAACACACATACGATACGATGGGCATGTTTCAGCAACTGGTGGGCATGCTAATGCTATCGAGCGCTGGTACGAACTAGGGAGACCTGTTTGGTTTTGTTCTTCTTAAGCTCTATAAAACTTGCATCAAGGCCTTTTTCTTTTCCTTTTTTTTTTCTTTGGGCAACACATGGGCGTGCATTTTTGGCGAATACTCGGTCGGCTCACACTTTTATTTCAATCCTTGTTGTCATTTTTTTTATATTTTTTTATTCAAGTCTGTTGCTATTTTGTTGTTTGTTTGCAATCTTACTGCCATTTCCTTGTACGGTAGGAATAGCTTGTGTATACCCCAGGCTGGACGTGGAGGAGATACCAAGACGGGGCCTGTTTCCGAGATGAAGCAGGGCAGGTGGACAGGCGCATGGAGGAGGATCATTACATTTTGGAAAGATTGGAGGGAGATGTGGGCGAGTGACGATTAGGGAACCAGGTCGAGATGGAGACACTACTAGGAAGGATACTTAGTTTGGACGTGTGCGAGTTGCAGGCGACAAGCAATGAAGACAAGTTTCGACCATGTATGGAGTAGTATAGTCTGTGCTACGGTTGGACCGTGGTGACACACCAATCTCCCGGACACGTAAGAGTTTTTTTTTCTTTTAATGAATGTGTTGGCAAGCTAGGCCGGGTCAGCCAGCCACGCATCGTGCGTCTCGACGCTGCCAGATCCTGACTGGGGCTGTTTGCGAAGAGCCGTTCAGGTCAATCTAGAACACTCAAGACGAAACCAAGAGGGCGGCCGAGACAAGGTGTCAAAAGGTGTGTCAACAACATGCCACACGGGGCAAGGCGTTGGAGATGGATCGATCATGGACCTGTGTTGCCGTGAAGCACTCACTCACTCAACCAATCTCTCCACCCTGTACGGAGCACGGCGGTACAGAGTACTCTGTGCTCCAATTTATCACGATGCAGGTCGACGGTGTAGGAGGTCGCTAATACGGTGGCAAGGGGGGTTGTCTTGTCTTGTTCTGGTCTTTTGATTTTACACCAAAAAAGGCACAAGCAAGCCAAAACACAGCACGGCACAGGGCAGGGCAGGGCAGGGCAGGGCAGGGCCATGCAGCTGGCACCCTTGTATTCCAGCCCCATGCCAGGTACCAAAAGAGAGTTTTGGTTGTCACGCGAGCAAGCTGGGCGGTTGAACCATGCGAACGGCACTCTGTATGTAGCTCCCGTAGGCGATTGGACCACAAGTTTGAGACATGGCAAGGCGGCAGCCTTTCTGTTCTTATTTTTATTTTTACTTTTTTTCTTCTCAAGACAACGTCGGTTTGCTTATCCGTCTATGGGAGGTCCCGGGGACCCGGTTTGCGGGCGGCTTGGACAGAGCGGGCGTTGGGACAACGGGGGGGGGGGGGCTCGG